TAAAATAAGTTTATTAGAGCCATATTGATGGCTCCAAAAAGTGTCAAAAATGCCATCCTACATGTAGAAACAGGTATAGTTTCATTGGATGCTAGGGCATGGTTCTTCTTCTTACCTTCTGGTTAAAGTTAATTCTACTTCCTATAGGTTTAGCTCTATTAGTATTTAGAGATCGCTTTAAATCATCATTGCTTAAAAAAGCCTTAGATACAATTCAATTGCTGGGCTTCTCTAGGGAAAGTCTGTGTTCATTAAGTTTTAATAATCCTAGAACTGCCCTTAAACAATAAATTTGAGATATAGATCTCCAAACAAATTTAAGGTGTTACACCCCAGTATTTCTCATTTTCTCCCAAAAGGATTTGTTCCAGCCTCCTATTTATCATTCATTACAATTCTGAAATTTCACCTTAGCCAGGTTGGATGCTTTGCCTTCAGCAGTCTTTTTTGGACGTTTTAAGGGCACTCCTGTGCACCTTTGGTTGTGTTTGTGAGGTGATGGCTCAGTAGAAACTCTAAGTCATATGCTATTGTATTGCTTCCTATATAAGGATTCTAGACAGACCCTTATATATCTGATCTTGAAGAAATTTCCAGGTAGGAAATGTGATTTCTATTTAATATACTTCTCTTGGACAAAGACTCAAAAATATCTGCCCAAGTTGCCCAGTTTTGTGCTACCATCTGTATGATATGCCACACCACTACCTAGGTTTGGAATTTCTTATAATTTTTATTTATTTCTTATAATTATTTTGATTTATTTTAATATTTTTATTCTTAATTATTTTAGATCCTATTATATTTACTGTTTTTCTGTCGTGTGTGTGTGTGTGTAGAAGGATGTTATATTGCTATTATTAGATATTTTGACTGCATTTGGCCTTAGGGCTGTAATAAACTTGATGATATTGAATATTTGCCAGCAACAAATATTAGATAGATCTGTTTAAGGTACAGACACAACATAAAGATGACATTTTTGGCTAGAATCATATGTATATTTATTTCCAGTTTAAATTATGAATTTAGACTACAAATATTCATGTCATATAGAATTATAGAATCATAGGGTTAGAAGGGACATTGGAGGCCCATGGCATGAGTTCTCAGACCATCCCAGACATGGCTCTCCAACCTTTACTTGAAAATCTCCAGTGAGGGGGCAGCCATGGTTCCAGGAGGCAGCCTGTTCCACTGCTTAATAGCGCTTACTGTCAGGAAATTCCTCCTTACTTCAAGTTGGATCTCCTTCTGTAAAAGTTCTGTCAGCCCTATAAGGTAGACCAGACTAAGAAAGAAATGCCATATGGGTCTTAATATTATTTTTATTGGAAGAGCTATAGGGATAGAATCTTGTAAGTCTGAATGTGCTTCCATCCTCCCTCCCTCCCTCCCTCCCTTTATCTTGGTGCGAATTAAAGAGGGGCCTCTCTGAGGCATTTTCTTAAGTTTGTTTCTTGGAATGGACTCAAGTGGTACTTGGCTGATTGTTTCCTTGGTAATGGATCTTCCCCCTGTCCTTTAAAGCCATTCTCTATGCCCTCTACAGGTTCCACCTGTGGGTCCTTATTCTACCTTTGGAAGCTATGCAAAATAAATCCACATCCTCTTCCTTGTGACAACTCTTCAGGTATTTGAAGACTGCTATCATGTCTCCCCCTAGCCTTGTCTTCTTTAAAGTTAAACATATCTGGTTCATGTAACCATTTTTCATAGGATTTAACCTCCAAGCCCCTCATCATCTCTGTTGCTTTTCTGTGCATTCTTTCTAATTCCGTAGCATCCTTCTTTGATTGCAGTAACTAGAAATGGACACAGTATTCCCAATGACCTCTAATCAGTGCAGTGTAGAATGGAACTATCACTTCCTGTGGTCTTGACAGTATACTCTCTTGATTCAGACTAAGGTTGTATTGACTGTTTTAGTAGCTGCAGCAGACTGGCTCATGCTTAATCTATGGTCTACCAGGATGCTTAGATCCTTCAAGTATTATTGCCAAGCCAGATACTGCCTATCTTATCTGTGAATCTGGTGTTTGCTACTTAAGTGCAGAACCCTACATTTTTTGCTATTGAACTGAATTTAATTGGATAGGGCCTGATGTCCAGTCCTATCAAGACCCTTTTGAATTTTGAATCTTTTTTGAGGTGTTAGCAGATTGTCTCCTCCCACCCCACTCCCCAGTTTTGTGTTGTCTGCAAACTTGATGTGCATTCTTTTTATCCCCTCATTTAAGCCATTTATGAAAATGTTGAAGAACACTTGAGGTATCCTACTGCATACCTCCCTCCATGTAAACATAGAGCCATTAAGGACCACACATTGAGGACAGTTGTTCAGCTGCAAATCCATCTAATAGTGGAACCATCCATCTCCTGCTGGTATATTTTATGAAGAAGGAGGCTATTGTTAACTTTATTGAATGACTTACTGAAGTCTAAGTACATTACATCCCTAGGATTCCCATGGTCAACTATTCTAGTTACTTGTTTAGAATAACATGTTTTTAACAAAACCATGCTGGCTTCTAGCAGTCACCTTGTATCATAGTTGCTTCATAGCTTTCCTGACACTTTCTGGTAGCATCACTCATCCCAACATGAAACAGCAGAAGGGAATAATGATCAATAGATTTGATTAGTCAAGTCAGCCTCTCCATCACATCCTGGATCTTTGCACCTGGGAGACAACACACTTCCTTTTATACCTTGTCTGGTTTGCAGATTGCCACCTCTGTTCCTCTCAGCAATGAGTCACCTATCACTACCATATTGCACTTCTTCGGAATAGCCATTGGATTCCTCACCTCTGTGGGAGCCTGAGCTTCTGCCCTTTGTGTCTTTGGAATGCTGGGTGAAAACCATTCTCCAGAAGTCTGCTAGATACCCTCCAAGGACAGGACATGAAATTGACCGAATAATTTCAGCAACTGGTTCTTTAGGTCCTTTGAGTTACATCCTGCCAGATCTCTTCCTCCAGGGCTCCTGCTTTCTTTACTGTATCCAGAAACTCCTTGCTTTCCCTGATGAGTCTCAGTGTAGCCAGGCATGCCTCCAAGCCATTCACTTTCTTCTACAGCAATACAATGAGTTTGCACGTGCCTTCCCCATTCACTGTGAAATCTAGTATATAAAATCTAATATTATGACAAATGTGGTAATCATTAAAGTGATACAGGACTTTTTGCCTATCTGAAAGCAGATTATTAAATTAAGAGCTTATTAGTTAAAACTTGAAATTCACACGGTAACTGCTAACTAATGTGTGAAGCCAGATTCTCAAGATTTTAACCTGAAGGAGCATTTTATTTATTTTTTTGTTTGTTTTCTCTAGTATCTTACTACAATGACTTGATCAATGCCATCTATATTGAATTATTTTTGCTGTCTATCACCAAAGTAAATAATACACATCATGTTGCTTTCTGGTATCCAGGCAGTAGTTCTGAGCTGATGCAGAAACAAATGAAAGTAGGTATACTCCACAACATTCTTGCTACCCTCAACACATTTGCACTTCTGTTCTTCAGATACTATCCCTGGGAGACAATGTATGGCTTCTTGCTTCTTTCTGCTCAGACAGTTTGATGATGTCTTAATATATCTCAACTCAGTGAAGGTTAGTAAATGTTACAGTTACCTTGTGTACATTCATGTATGTCTCTTTATTAGTATCTCAGAGGGTGGATATGCACAAACATAACACTAGAGAAGAAAACAAGGTATTTTGTCAAGTATCATAGAAAATCCAGATCCAGGGCATCTGGCTTTTAATCTGTGACATTTTCAGTGAAAATGATGCTGTGATGCCAACATAAAATTGATTAATTGTTGCATTGATTTCTGTCTTGCTAGAATCTATGTTGGACTGTGTTGATGTCAGTATAGATTTCATGGAGGTTTCTATAATAATTGGTTGTCTCTACATCAAACCAATCTCTATTGTGGATACTAGACAAAATAAATCTAAATCTTTAATTTACAATATTTGGTGTATCATTACTTTTAGCCACCAGGTGGTAGTGCCTTGTAGATTTCAAGCCTCTAGTTACACAAATGTGTATATCCTCTTTGCTTTGACAGTGGTTAACTAGAAAATAAGAATTTAGCTTTTTTCAAATGGCTGAAAATAAGTTCTTAGTTGTTGCAATATCTCTTCTCTCTCTTATCTTGTAGGAATCATATTCTTTTGCTACTGTAGGGCTAACTACTGAAACTAGCTCTTAATTTTTCCTTCATGAATTGCAAACCGTCAGTTTATTCAGAAGCTAAGGAAGCAACTAAGCATGACCATTTCCTGGGTAATACAGGAAATTAATTTATTGGATGCTTCTGTCATACCAAATAAGAGTTCAGCATCTCAGTCTCTTTTATCAACATGTTTATACAGAAAATACCAGTTATAATGTAGAGCATTTTATTTTGGAAGTTGCATATTTTCTTTGCTTTTTATGTAAATACGTTTTTTTAAAAAAAGCATATATTATGACCATGATATATATGTTATTGCAGAATTAGATATTTCATTGTAATTCGCTTTTAATCATATTGTCCTGTATTACTACATGTATCAATTTGAAAATTTGGCTAGCTATTCAGTATTTAATGCATTTAATTAATTTAGAAATGGAGATTTCTAAATTAATTAAAGATTAATTTAAGAATCTTAAGAGAAAAGGACAGAGAGGCAAATATCTTTATATGGGTATTTCCCAGGGTAGTAAACAAATGAATGAGATGGTGATGGTGATGATGATGATGATGATATAAAATTGACAAAGTAAGAGGCATTGATGAAAGCTACTGCTCTTGCAATTTTGAAAGGCAGGTGTGTGCTCTCTTTTCTGGACCAAGAGCCACGCTTGGCCTTGAGTGATATGTTAGCAGCTGTATTCCAGGAAATTGCAGGGCAAGACAAAAGCTAAACTTAATTGAAAATAATTATGATTGCTTTCCAAGTATTTATAATTTTCTCCATCTGTCACATTAAAAACTACAATACTGTGGGATGTTTTGGGACCCAAAGCCAAAGTTTTGGGGTGGTCATAATTGTGCTCTGCTTCAGAGGCTACTACTGAAGCTTCAGGACTAGTACTGAGAGATTTTGTAGCTCAGCTAATAGAATATTGTTACAATTAACAATGAAGAGTTTCTTGTAAATAAGACATAGACTCACTGTACAGTATACAGTTTCATGGGAAACTGATTTTCTCTGGTACTGAAGATCTTTTATATGTGGCAGTGTGCTTATATAATCATACGTACTTTTCTTCAGAATACTCACTTGAGCTATATTTAGTCTATACTGATGCTATTTCTATTTTTCATACAGAATATTTTGGGTAATTGTGAAAGGAATGAAAAATATGACATCTAAGCCAAACTAGAAGTTGAAAGCATACAAAAACTACTTAACAAAGTATGTAGGTTACAGAGCTGATCAAAACAGTACACAGAGGGTGAGGCATTTGTGAAGATTTATGTTAGTGTACACAGGATGATTCATGATTTGATAATATAATTAATGTAGTACTTAAACATTCCATTCTGACTTACGCTTAATGTCATTTGGCACCTTTCCCATTTTCTGTATTCCAAACCAGTGTGTCTAGGTAATGCTTTCTACCTCCCACGCAGCCAAAGATTTCAGCATAAAGGAGCAAACTTTCCCACACCTCAAGGAGAATGGTATTTTTCTTCCTAGGCTGCAACTTGGCATGAATGTGGACAAAGTGCTATTATGATGTGATCCACTTTCACTTACACAGTGATGGTTATATTTTATAATTTCTGAAATTCTTAGTCACCATTTATCTATTTAATAAATGAGGTCATATCAGTAATCAGTTCATCCATGGAAAATCTAAAGAAATATCTTATATGTTACAGTGTGATCAGGGCGAGATGCATGCCATGATTCAGTGATCATACAAGTAGTAGCAGAGAAGTTAACGTTTGTTAAAGCAGGCATTTTGTTTTATAATTATGAAAGAACTTGAAAATATATAGGCAGTCCTTAGTAGTATGAGGAGAGGCTGAGCAGAAATTCCAGTTTTCAGGCAATCACATTTGAGTACTATATGCCAACTTTTGGCTCTTCTTTGTATTAGGCAAAGACAGAATGGATGATGCATGTATTTATATTGTAACACTCGCCTTTTCTTGTATAGGTTTTGAAATATTTTAGGATAATTCTTTATTATTGAACATGCTACACAACAAATATACAAATCAGCAGAATTAACAACACTTAGGACAAAGCACAGTGTTATCCTGAGGCACAGGGCAAGACAAATGAGCTCAGCAAATAGGACCCAATGGCTACATTCGTATGTCCTTCAGAAGATAACAGAGAGGGAGAAAGGCAGGTTAAAACCAAGACAAAGTTTGTCCCAACTGTTTTTTTCTTCTTCTCACCCACCCTGAGCTAGTGCTACCAGTTGTTCTTTGAGAATGAACCCTGAAATGAAATGAAACCCTGAAACTTGAGGAAGGCAGGTGAAATTAGCTTCCTTTGGCCCACACAGACCATTGCCACTAGTAGCCTCTGTGGGAATGATCCCTGAAATTAATATTTTAAACATATTTACTGTGTTTTTTTCATGGTGGCTAATGTTGCTTATCATCATCCTTCATTAGGATTTGTATTCTGAAAGTTGGAAATATAATTAATAAATTATATTGTCCATTCAGACATCTTTCAAACCATGGAATCTACCTTGCTCTCCATCCTTCCTTAGAGCAGCTTGATAAAACATTTCATAGTTTGTTAAACTGGTTTACTATGACATCTAAACTAGAAATTTGGTATAACAAAATGAGGAAGCATTAGTTTAAATCAGTGTGCAAAAAGGGCTATAAAGCCCTTTCTGACTTGGTCTGCAGGACACATTGCTTCAAATAGAACTTACCCTCCAGTTGCCAGTCCACATGGGGATGTTGAGGGTTTCACATTAGGGGAAAGGCCAGAGGTCAGTGCTTCTCTGTGGCAGACCCCACCTTCTGGAATAGACTCCATGTGAAAATCTGTATTGCACCATGTCTCCCAGTATGTAGAAAAGTGATGAAAACTGAGCTGTAGGAGACCTTTTAATGATTAGATGTCATTGTTAGGAGACACCTATATTAGTATAATTCTGGGTAATTTAATATACTATTGTGGGATTGTTATTCAGTGTTTTATGCCGCACATGCCAGGAGTTCTTTGGGAGTGTGGTGGTGTATAAATAAATAAATGTTCCTCCCCTCTCTTTGTATGGCATTAAATAAAAATTGTGGATTCATAAATTTTATACTGTTTGTGAATTAAATGAAAGAATGATTTCACATTAATCAGGATTGTGTTTCTAGGGGTTGTTGAGGGTTTGAATCAAACTATTTTTATGAACAGTCACTATGATGCTGTATTTTCAAGGGTAACATAACTATATAAAAATGGAGGCCCTTGGTATTCACTGAACTAAAAATATGGAATTAAGCATGAATGTTTTGAAGAGATGAACAAAGAGGAAACTGCATCATAGCAAGATTTAATATGCTCAGGAAAAATGCAAAAAGAAGTTCAATTTCTAACTTGGAACATCCATCAAATCTGTTCTAGTAATGCCATGGAATGTGCAAATACTGTGGAATTTTCAGTTATAAATGATAGCTGAAAATTAATACTACTGTAGCTGTTAAATGTCATAAACTATTAAGCTGTTTATTTGTTATGCATGCTTTACTTTCCAGAGTTATTTCTACAATGATGACACTTTTAACTTTAACTATGCACAAGCCAAAGCTGCTACTGGCAATACTAGTGAGGCTGAGGAGGTATGTATCTGCTTCTTGAAAAAACCACAGATTACAGGTTAAAAATATTTGCTGCTTACCTTCTGTATCTGTACCTTACTTTCTATATCTGAACTTTCTGAAACTTTGAGGATTTGAGCTTCCTTTCTCCAAGAATTTTGGAGGCTGCTGTGAATAAGAAGCAATGGCCTTTGAGTATACAATATATGCATAATCCTGTGCATATACAGTACTGTGCAAAAGTTTTAGGCGTGAAAAAATGCTGTAAAGTAAGAATACTTTCAAAAATATATTGTAATTGTTTATGTTTATCAATTTGCAAAATGCAAAGTGAGCAAACAGAAGAGA